TATTTTTTTTTTACATTTGGGATTTGGTTAGAAGGTTTATTACATGCATACAGTAGAGTGTGAAATGTTGATTTTTCCCCCTACATAGCTGGTTTTGCAAGTTTTATTCATTAATCAGTCCAGCTTTAGTAATTATTAAATATATCAAATTTTCACCTACAATTCTTATTGATGTCCTTTCAATCCATTAAACGGCTGTGTATCTAACATTTTTTTTCATTGAATACTTAAAAAATTATAGTGAGTTGAAGGCTGATAAAATGATTATTTGCTTATGAGTCATAAGATTAACAGTGTGCTATTATGTCGTAATGTCATATTATTGTTATGTTTTTGAAAATTGAAAAATTTCAGTTCCAAGGCATGCATTACGATGTGGAAGTGTGAAGTAGACCAGGTATATACCATGACGCTGTGTGGATTGTAAATGAACAAGGATTATGAGCTGAATTCGAGAGAATTTGATTTTTGAAACTTAGGAATATGCATGTACGAATTAAAACAGAAAGAGAAACTAAATAATTAATAGAAAGTAAGTAATTCAGTTATGTGATTAAAACAGAAAGAGAAACTAAATAATTAATAGAAAGTAAGTAAGTCAGTTATGTGATTATATCCCGAAAGATTAGAAGGTTATAAATTTTTCCCAGTTTTGAAACAATCATTATTTAAATGAGATGATGCTGCAATATGTTTTTTAAAAGCAAGAGTTATGTTGTACCCTTGTGTAATTGACACACTACTAATTGTGTGTAGTTGACGTTAGCGGGCAGCAGAAGTCAATGCTACGTGTAGCGCAGAAATATACCCCATTTCAATGGTATGGTGCCCTTTTGATTGCGGGTTGTGAAGTCTTAATTTTACATTGTCAAATAAGGAAAGCACGTCGGTGTCACGAGCAAACTGACCTCGTCAATCTGTGGAGGTACTTTTGCTATTTCCATTATTGTCTCCTTATCTGGGTTTGCCAAATTTGAGGCAGCATTGTTGTACTCCATACAGGCTTTTACGCCATCAAGTGCTGCACGATTTTCGACAGCCCTGCATGAAGTTATTTGGCTTAATAGGTGCGATGTTGTTTTCAGAATGTAAAGAGTGAACACTGGAATTGTGTAATTGTCAAGTTAAAGCATACCACTTTTCCAAATCTGTGGCACGGGGAGTGTCTGGACTGAGAGTTATGGTGGAGTCAGCATGAGTGCTTAGAGAAATTCCTTCGAGTTGAGCATAGAATTAGTATTTTATTACTGTATTTAAGTGTATAGAATCTGTATAAGCAAAGTACCTTTGAAGTGGGTCACCGGAACCGTTTCTATTAATATAATAGGGTACATCCCTGCCATCAGCTGCTCCTTTATTTCTACTCCAGTAGTCTTGGCATGCTTGTTCCAGAGCGTGATTACTATTGGTTTTAGCCTGGTGTATTATTGAAAAGCGGAACGTCAAAAGGTGATGGAATAAGTGAAAAAGGATGAGGGGCATTGTTTACTCCTTTGGTAGTATTTCTATGACTAATGCTATCAGTGCTGTAATTTAAATAGCTAAGTAATTAGCTGAGAAAAGATTTGTTTATAGTCGTAAGGAAGACGTGACTTACATATTTCTTTCCGTGTCTTCATACATTCATACAGATCCATGAACTGCGATAGTTGTGGGCTATCAGAATGGGCCACAAAGTCATCCTTGCTAGCAGAATTGGCTACAAAGTCATCCTTGCGAATATGTTGTACCATAGTCCTACCGTTAAGTACCCAGGTGTAGGCATATTTCTTGTCTGGGACAGTGAAATTGTTATTCGGGGGTCGGACTCTGGCATTCGAGATGGTATACCAGGACTCCAGTTGCATCGTCATCTCATACATCTTGACATCTTCATCAAAGACCATCGCCTGAACACGAATGCCCTGTTTTTTTTTTCAATTAGTAATAAGTTTGAATATTTTAATGTGGCACCGTAAAGATATTTGGAATTTGGAAGTGGTATGTGCAGGATGGCATAAAGTAAGTAAACCGATTAGATGAATATATCATTTATAAAAGGTATATATAAAAAGCAGAGATTAAAAGTGAGTTAAGTGCATAAAATAGGCCATGTGTGTAATAAAATAGGCCAACTGTTTGTTTTTGAACAAATGCAAATGTAAGAAAATACAGTCTCATCTGGAGTGGTAAAACCTTAATTTAAATTCCGACTATGTAATTCAACGAAAGAAATAAGGTCTGCTAAAATGCCTGGAATTGATCGTTATATAATTCAGATGAACCAGTTTCATGAACATTAAACCAATTACAAATTCATAAAATATTATGAAGTTAGGATTGTAGAACAGAAAATGGATATAGTCACTAAAGTTAGTATGAAAATAATATCAGGACCACTGGGACAGGACTGTAAAATTGAACATCTATTCACTGTATAAGTAATTATCATGGCTACCATGTATTCCATATTTAAAACCATGCATTACAAGGTCGTATTGAAGTATACATTTACTGTGTCATAAATTCATCATTGTTATAGAAGTATCATGTTTATTTTTGGAAAAGATTAGCTACCATTTTAAAGTTACGCCCAAAAACAAATATTCCGAAATTGGAACCAGAGTTAAAGATAGCAGTTGAAAAGTGGTATTTCCAAGCAGCCCAGCCGGAAAAACAGTTCTGATTCATCTAAAATGATATTTGGGTTTCCCTTTATTAGAGCACCGGGAATATATGTTTGAATCAAATTTGGACATCGGGCAGGGTAACACAGAAAAATGAGTAACTCGCAAGACTTGTTCTAAGGGTGGTGACAATTCCTTTGTGTTTACCTCATTGTCCTCAAGTGTCAGCGAGATATATGGTTTGCCATTTACTGAGATTCTTGGAGCACTCTTTTTTACCACACGGACCTCACAAGTCCACTTATGCGTTTCTGGGCTCACAGCGACCAAGCGGGCCAGGGTAGCCATTGAATATTCCTTGTGTGTAGGATAAGGAAATTGTTAAAGTTAGTAAGTAGTGATGACGTATGAACAAATTATTTGAGTAGTAGTCAAACATAGCTATGCAAGACTGACCAACACACAATTATATATGAGGACGCAAACTTGAGACCTTGAAAATAATGGTCTTTATCACACATACTGTAGTATTATATTAACAAAAGTAAGAGACAGTTTATCTATTATATTAAAAATAAAACTCACTTCACGGCATTTCCAATTCTGAGTTAATGTAACAAAGCCAGATGTATAAAATTGTCTCCATTTCATATATATGCCAACGAAGGTGATTCAACTTGAGAAAAGAATTGAGACATGACATTAACTATACAAGTGGTTTGCAGTCAACTGATATTAACTAAACCAATTCTCAATTCTCAACTGATATTAACTAAAAAAAAAGAAATTTTCATTTACGTAAAGTATTATCACACAATGCAGGAGACGTAGAAAATTTTCGAAGTACTCCGTACAAAAAATTTTCAGGTGTAGACGTGTAGTTGGAACCCCACCCAGCTAAATATAATTTGTTGGAAGTAAAACATTAGCAGGTAATTAAGGAAAAATGAACCTTATAGCATCCCAAATTAGAGATGGTTGGAATTTGGAAGTTCAACTTATTTGTATTATAGGGACCATCTGTGTCAACCTATTTTAAGAGACAAACTTCAATCATTTATTAGTTATTTAACTTAATCTATTACTAAGTCTAGGAGAAAACTTGTTTGAACTATTTTAAAGTAAAATGGCACAACGACACAATTTATGCTTCTTCGCAATGTTTCTTTAGTAACAATTCGAAAAGTACTTTAATTTTTTCAACATCAATCTTTTCTACACACGTAGATATCATATTCAATATATATCCTTTCCCCAAAGACACAACATATGAAATTCACTATGTATGATTTAGTGCAATGGCTAATAAAGTGCTGAATTGCTGACGAAGTATAAACCACAATTTTTCACCCCAAATAAAAGTTTACTTGACATATGAAGGCAAGAAACAAAATTTTACTACTCAACTCTTCAAAGGTTTTGAGTAACAATGTTAACATTTAAAGTCTTATTGCCTCAATGCCTTGTAACAAAATCACAGTGTAAATGATTCTATTTATTTCCTATCCAGTAACTCAAGAGGCATCGCAAAGGAGATGAAATCTCGAAGATCATATTGTTTTTTTATTATTATTCAAAGCTGTCATTTACTACGTAGTTCAATTTGTTGAATGACCTCTAAAAGAAAGATCCGCTCTATTGACAAAGAAAGCCACGCACTCGCAAAAAAAAATGACCAGACTATCCATAATTAATGAATACGTAGTATCAAGTAACTGAAAATGATGAAATAAAGACCATGTGTTAATTGGATCCATTAATTTAAGCTGAAGCCAGAAGGTTCATATGAATTTTGAGTTGGGTTGGGAGACCCAAGACCGCCCAAATAAAAAGAGGTCTTGAACCGGGACGGGTAGACTGGGCCGTTCGGTCCCCGTCAACGTTTCGGACAGAAAAAGAAAAAGCAAACATTTGACCATTGGTGACCACTCATCAGACCGGGCCCGAGACCGGCCAGTCCTGGTTAGAAAAATGGCACCCGGGACCGGGTAACATAGTCTCAGGGGTAGGGGTGGCCGTGGAATGGAATTGGAAAAACGGTTTTGGGCCGGTCCCAAAACAATGTCAGGAACAGTCTTGGTTCGAACGCAACCAGCAGACCGGGTGCACCCCAAAGCAGAGTGAAGGTGTCAATGTGTCATGGTGTCATTAGTTGCCATGGTTGCAAAAAATGAAAATCATAGAAAATTCAGATGCAAACAAAAAGCAGATGGAAAACAAAGGGGAAATCTGAAATGTGGAGATCATGCATTAACAGCTGACAACATAGGCTGGTGAAACTATTTGTGCATGGTTCAATTATTGTACAGCTGTTGTATACATATGTATGTATGTTAACATATATGTATTCTACAGTCAATAAGAGCATTTATTTTCATGGTATTAACTATACAACTGGTTTACGACGTGCGAGGATGATTTAATTAAAGCAATAATTTGTAAACATTTTTCCAAGCACATTGAAACTAAAAAGAATTAAAACTTCCTACACAATAAAATTGAATGTTGCAATTGATTTTTTGTCAGGCATGCATGTTCAACTCCACACACATATGAATGACCATAGTTGATATTTGTAGTGCAAAAGGAATGGTTAGTTTGGGTTCACCTATTCTCATACGTTTACTTGTTGATGGGCTTTTTCCAATATTTCTTCGTAGACTATATTGGGGGTCAAGTTGGTGCTGCCAGAACGGTCCTTGTTGCAAATTAATATTTTCAAACAGTCTGCTCTTTGGGCCCGTGACATTGCAACATATAGTTGTCCGTGAGAGAACACCGGCTCGCGTAGATAAATCCCCACATAATCAAATGTTTGTCCCTGCGATTTATTGATTGTCATGGCAAAGCACAATTTGATGGGAAACTGGTGGCGTTTGAAGGGTATAGGGCATTTGGCGTCCTCAGTTGCTTGGAGCGGTATTTTCGGAATGAAGACATTTTTCCCCATGTGTTCACCAGTTGCTATGGAGCAGTTAATAACATGATCACGAAAGTCATGGCATATCAGTCGTGTCCCATTGCATAACCCCTCGGCAGGATTTAAATTTCTGAGTAGCATAACAGGACAGTTCTTCTTCAGAATTAATTTATGTGGGGGTAGGCCGGCCAAAGAAATGGCATTCAATAGGTCTCCATATTCGGCGTGTGTACTTGTGTCAAGTGCTTCATCGTAGCTGACATAACATCTCTCTTCCCCTGGCATTCGTTGGATCAGTTTGTCATTCAATTCTTCAACCCCATCATTCTTTGGGGTTAATATTCCTCTTTGCATTAGTGGATAGGGGTTGATGCTAAATGAAACCAAATCAGGGAACACATTTTCTATTAATGCATCCACCGATGCTTCGTGCTCTGTGTACGGGATAAGAAATTGTTCTGGAATGGCAATGGAGAAGTCAGACACGTAATCCTCAGTTCCATTTCCAACCCGCATCAAGTACGATGCAAAGCCCGGATCAGTTTTTGCTCTCATGTTTTCGCGCAATGGTAAGCGTTCAATATGTGGCCAAATTGCATGGGAGTTTACCAAGCTTGCGTCCATGCAATCCTTTTTTCCTCCTGATCTTATCACAGGTAACGTTTGTCGAAAATCTCCTCCGAATACCATCACTTTATCCCCAAATAAGTTATCACTATTGGTGATATCCCTTAATGTGGTATCAACATTCTCAACTGTTCTTCGATTTGCCATTGTTGCTTCGTCCCACAAAATCAACTTGCTGTCTCGTATCAGGGTAGCTTCTGCACTTTGTTTCCCGATACTGCACACAAATCTATCTTCGATGTTTATTGGTATTTTGAAGCGGGAGTGGGCAGTACGTCCGCCAGGTAATAGAGATGCGGCAACGCCGGACGTTGCGGTGGCAAGGGCAATGTCATGGTTTGACCGCACTTTTGAAAGAAGACATCTGTATAAGAATGTCTTTCCGGTCCCTCCTGGCCCATCAACAAAGAAAACACCTCCCTTGTTTGAGTAAACGCGGCTCATGATCACATCAAATGCTTCCTTTTGCGCAACGTTGAGCTTTTCGATGGCCAATAAATCATTGTCACTTGGTGTGAGACTACGTTCGGCTTGGATTTCTCGTTGGATTCGTTGGTGTTTTGTGATTCCAATGTGATGTGAAACTAAAGCGAATTCATTGATATTTTTTCCCATGCATAACAACGCTTCATTCAAAAGATGAAGGCATTTTTCTTCAGATTCGGTCATGTTTGAGGAAGATTTAATGAGATCCTCACATAAATGCTCCTTAAATTGCGTCCACAATGATCTTGGGTTGGCAACATCACAAAAGGCTAGTATGGTTGCAAATAATTTGCGGAAGGTAGATGGCATTTGCCAACACAAGGCTTGTTGCAAGCACACTTCTAGGTCTTGATTACTTTGTAACAACCCGAGTTTCTCAGCTGATAGTGATGCCTCTGTCAGATCTCTTGGAATTTTCCTATATATAAAAGGAGAGTGTGACAGAAATTAGCAAGCTTTGGACTTGCTTTGACCTTTGAACTTGTCTTTTCAGGAATTAAGTGTATTCATATCACGAGTTAGAGACTGGGGTAGTTGAGTGTGGACAACTTATTTCCATGCACTGGATGTACCAGATCACTCCAGATCTTGCATCTGGTTTGAACTCTTATCCTTTAATGACCCCCTCAGAATCAGTATACAATAGTATCTGCTTTTCTTGCGTTAACCAGCTAAAGTAGATCAAATTTTTTATTGTAGAAACGTGGGACATTTGATAAAAAAACACTTGGCATGTCTTATATCTTGGTAATGTTCGGCAGTAATGATTACTTACACCACTTCGTGGTTTAGCATTTTGGGTAAAGAACTCTACTGCTGTGCAACTGGAAATGCATCAGCAACCCTAAACTAAAAAATTTATGCATCTTATTTAGCATTTTATAGTTATATAAGCATATCGAGCAGAAATCCCACGATCATTTGCTGGAAAAACTGCTGAACAAAAACCAATGACTAAATGTAAAACTGTAAAAGAAATGCGTTGAAACAAAACATAGCACAGAAACAAACAGGCGCCAGATATTTACGAAAAGTGGAAGCTCGGCATATAATATAATCTAAGTACGAAAACACAGTGAAATGAAATCTAACCTGTAAAAATCAACAGATTTCAGTTTACTCGTTGAAATCGGCATTGTGGTGGAACACAAATAAGTAATTAAAGACACAGACTCTAGCCCCGTTAATTCTCAGCTAAATGCTGTTTTGGTTTCTGGGGTGAGGGCATTCGCTCGGTGGGTTTTGAGTTTCGACGAAGGCAATAGAGTTTAAATATGAATAAATTAAATTTCATACGGAAATCATTTATATGGAGATAAGCAAAACATTCCAACTTTTTTTAAACGAAGCAAAACATTCCAACTTATATGAGTGGAGTATTCATTTGAAATATTTAACACGAATACTAGTATTGTTTATGAGCTTAATTTTCGACACATTGTGTTAATATTCTTAAGATATTAATTAACTATTCTAGGTCATTAATATGCCCATAACATGTTTGTTGAAATGCTTAAATGAATTTTTTGTTTATGTCCTCTTATGTTTTAAGGATTTTGGATTGTTTTTTTTGCTAGTATAAGTTTCAACTTTAAATTGTGCATATTGGGAATGTTTTAGATAGTAAGTATTCCAAACCTTGAGTGGTTTGAGTTGTCTGTATTTGTTTTTAAGACTCGTGAAGTTGTCTGTCATTTGCAAAATAGATGTCTGTACTTGGTATTTAATTGAATTGCCTGTCTTTTGCTTGTTAGTTGTCTGTATTTATTTGAGTTGTCCGTAATGACTTGTCTGTCATGTTGTTGTGAGGAGTCTGTAAGAGTCGTGAAGTTGTCTGTCATTTTAAAAATAGATGTATGTAATTCATATTTAGTTGTCTGTCATTTTAAAAATAGATGTCTGTAATTCATATTTAGTTGTCTGTGTTAAGTGTTCTAAATGTCTGTCTGTGCTTTATTTGTCTGTCTACAGATCCGGAGAATGTACGTTATGGTCCTATCATTTGCAGAGCAGTTGCTATTGGGAATGTTATTGCTTCCTCATAATGACTACGCCAACATGTCAAACAAAAGACTTTAGTTTGCTATTGGGTTTTGGTGCTTGAAGAAGGCTAGAATATAGAATTTTGGGAAAATGTGTAACACTGTCCCCAAATGTAATTACTTTTAAGTGAATAATGTATTGAACTTTATGAAATGGTTAATGAGTATATAAAGTTGTGAATTTTATTAACTCTTTCGGGTGAATAGTAAATTCGCACGTGGGGCCCACACCGAGAGCGGGGACCGCCCGATATTCCCGAGACCATATATTTTATTCATCTTGGTCTAGATAATATTTATATGGTGGTGGGTAATTTATTTGGTCCAAAGAAATGACATAATGTGGACCGATTGGTCAAAAGTGGCTCAATTACCGGTATCGGTAATTTAACAGATAACAGCCCGAAATAAATTTTGGAGGCTTATAAATTAAAGTTGGGAAATGTATATACACTATAAGGGTCATAATGATTGTAAACACATAATATATTTTATTTGACCCGATGAAATAAAATATATTTGAAAACAGTCCGAAAAATACAACTTTCGGGACCGATTGTACACTGCTGGACAAAAAGGGTTGACCTCCCACATGTGTGGAGGCCAACCCACGAAATTAGCCTCATTATTCAAGTCCTTGGGCGTCTGGAATGGAAAGGGGGAGTGTGAGATGTTGGGGTTGAATGAAAGAGCATCAAAGGTACATAGGGTGGATCCCATTCTTTTCACTCATTTGATCCAATGAGACAAAAAGGATTATCTCACCCCTCCTTCCTCATTTCCTGCGGCCAGCCTTCACCCAACAAGAGCAAAGAAGCTCTCCCCTTCCCTCTCCATTGTTGAAGAGAACTCTCCAAGAAAGAATCCCAAGAAAAGGAGTTAAAAGTGCTAAAGGTGTGAAAGGATTAAGGTAATGACCTTATCATAACTCTCCTTTATTTTTTCTTCTATCATATGAGATATATATCATATGAAGAACCTTGAGGGTTGTTCTACATAATTTAAGTGTGGAATAATAGGTTGGAGAGTGGTTCTAAGTCCAAGAACGGACTTAGAAGCCAAACCGACAAGTTCACCGGAAAATAACCTTTTAGAGGTTATTTGTATTGATTAAGGTTTTATGATGTTAAAACCTTGTTAGGAACTTGTTTAAAGCATTTTTGAACCTCGCCGGAGTTTCGCCGGAGTTGGTCAAAGTTCGCCGGAGTTAGTCAAAGTTCAATCGGGAAGCGTAGAACGCGCTTAAGCTCATTTAAGGTGAGGATGACCGACTATATTGCTTATAATTATTGGGTTAATTTCATGAGATTACCTAAATGAATTAAATGTGTTTGGTATGATTTATTAATGATAAAAAGTGCCTAAATGAAATTAATGTTGTTTATAAGTGAAAGTGCATAATATACAAATTATGAATAAATTGTGTATGATTATGTGTTAAGAATAAAATGGCATGATAGATGTATTAACCATGAATGTTCATTGTGATAAATATACTTTTACCTCATGTAAAGAAGTCATGGAAGGATAAAAGTGATATTTTGATATAAAAGCCAAACTATACTTGAATGTGAAATTAAATTGAAATATACGAACTATTATGAATTTGCATTGGATATATTAAGATTAAACGACTAGTATAGAATTACTAGTCGGAAATGATAGTTCAATAGTCTTTGGAGATAATCCCAAGATATTGGAGCTAAGTAACCTTTAAGGATATTTTTAAGGTGAACTTTATGAACCCAAGTTACATTAGGAGTAAGCCTTAAAAGTTACTCAAATGGATGGAGCCTAGACTAAGAAATTGTTTAGGATTAGATGACGTGACTATGAGCCGAGCTCTAGCACGTGGTAGTATGACTATGAGCCGAGCTCTAGCAAAATGTAGTATGACTATGAGTCGAGCTCTAGCAAAATGTAGTATGACTATGAGCCGAGCTGTAGCAAAATGTAGTGTGACTATGAGCCGAGCTGTAGCACAATTTAGTATGACTATGAGCCGAGCTCTAGCATGAAGGAACATGAGTAATTATAAAATCATAACATACTAGATTGAGGGTCTTGGAAATTGAAACTTTGATTATACTTAGTATAGTTGTCATTGTACTTGTCAAATGATTCCAAGTATTGACCTCCCCTTCACGGGGGAGGCCACCTCACAGTTTCAGGTAGAACTTGAAGGTTGCTACCATCGCCGTTGCTTTCGGGAGGATCCAAGGAGAGGAGACGTGGTTCGTGCCTCCTCCGTTTCCATTTTTACAAACTATTTAATTAATGCTCATGGATATTATTTTAAATATTTATTTGGGGCTTGTATGCCCATGTTTGCCAAAGTGTGGCATGAACACTTGTATTGAATGTTTCCGCTGCTTTGAATGAATATTTTACATTATGTTTGTTTATGGATGTACTATGTGTGAACGATATTCCAGACGCCTTGTATAGTATGGATGTGTTGGACTGCAGTTGACTATTCGTACTGTACGGCGGATTGTTGACGTGTCCGGGTAGGTCCGGGGCGTGACAATTTAATTGGTATCAGAGCCTTAGTCCGTAAACTTCATAATGAAGCTTCAAAATCTCTTTTCAAAAACGAATTGAAAAAAAAAAACCATGAGCATAAAAGTTTTATACTTATAGAACTTTTGGAACTTGAGTTGCAAAGTCTCTAATTGTTAAGATGGTACCCTTAACAATTGGTATGGCGGTGATTTGAGCCAAAGGATGTCTTTAAGTACCTATCCGTCATTTGACATTGATATGAGTCTAATGACTCACTCTAATTCCTTTCAGAAATGGAGCCAGTTGGAAGGATCACTAGGAGAAACCCGACGGGCCGTGTGCCGGGTGGGTCTGAGCGCGGTAGCCGGGGGTCCTCTAGGGGATCAAGAGGAAGGGGTCGTGGAGGCCAACAACAACAAGCCGTGAGCGATGGCCACGTCGATACGGAAAGTGAGACCTATTGGTCTTATGAGGACTCGACCTACCGGCCGGAAACTGAGCCGGTTGAGACCCCTTATGAAGGGGATGATGATGATGTGAGTGACGAGGAGGAAAATGGCTCCTTGGCTAGGATTGAAGCGCTGCTCCAACAATACCATCGGGAGCGCGAGGAAAGGAGGGAACGCCGAAGGCGCCGTGCGGGGCAGCCTTCGGGCGGGGCTCCAAGGGGAAGGAGTTTTTGTGATTCAAGAACCCATGTGGAAGCGCATGGAAGTCGAGGTGATGGAGGTCCAACCATAAGGATCTCCAAATACATTAAAGAGGCGAGGGACTTGGGGTGCAAACCGTTCAATGGGACGGGAGACATCTCGGTTGCCGCGCAGTGGATCAAGAGGCTGAACGAGGCAGCCCTTGACATGCAACTCACCCCCGATTTTAAACTGAGAATCGCGGTGAGGTTACTTGAAGGGTTGGCATCCAAGTGGTGGGATGGAACCAAGGGCAAGTATGGCGGGAATGTTACTTGGGAGGATTTTCGGCAAGAATTCTTTGCCCAATACTACTCTGACTTTGAAGTAAACGCCAAGGTGAGAGAATACACTCTCCTAACCCAAGGGGGTAACATGAGTACATGATGGTGAAAGAACTTGAGCACAAGTTCAGGGACCTTGCCGACCACATACCGGAGTATGCTTGTGATGAAAACCGAATGGTGAATCACTTTTGGGAGGCCTTGGACTTGGAGATACGCGATAGGGAAACTCAATTGCCCAAAATGACTTTTAGCCAAGTGGTTGCCCAAGGGTTGAAAGGAGAGAAGCAATGGGAGGAAAGAAAGAAGAGAGACGCCGAGGAGGCGAAGAAGAGAAAGTGGGAGAACCATGGCCCCCAAGGTTCTAACAAAAAGGGGAACCATGGGGGAGGGGGATCGTTCAGAGCACCGGCACCGCCATCCAAGGGAAACCCGGCCTTCAGTGGGCACAACTCGGGCTCACAAGCCTCAACGACGCCCAGGTGCAGGAATTGCAACAGGAGCCACAATCCGGAAAATGTCGTGATCCACCCCGGTGCTACCAATGCGGGAGTACAGGGCATATTAAACCAAATTGCCCTCAACTTGGTGGGAACCGAGGGGCGGGATCGAGTGGCGCTACTACAGCGAGTAGGAACCGAACTGGGGCACCTCATGCTAGTACGGGGCAAGGGGGAGCGAGCACGAGCGACGCGCCATCCGTGAATCAGGGGAGGTCTCAAGCACGGGTCTATGCGATGACCGAGGCCGACGCTCGGGCTAATCGTGACTCCGTTGCAGGTAATCCTTTGTAACGATTGAT